CTAGTCTTCTCGGATAGGGACGAATAAATGGAGGTCTCGTCTCCTGCAGGAGGGGTAGGAGACGTTAATTTCCCACGCACGAGATCACTTTGTGATGGATGTCCTTCCCCGGGGTGGGATTGGTGGGTTGGGTTTAGGTGGATGAACCTTGTTGGGGACTAAGCGTCCTATTGTTCTCCCACCTGTACAATGTACAAAAATCTTTAGAAATCCTCAACGAAATTTATTCAGGTGATGGAACCGAAGGTACCTCTTAACATTACGAAGTACCTCTAAAGGACAAGGAAAGACCGCTGAGATACTTTGTGTTCACTTTTTAGGTGGAATGAGAGTGTCAGATACTCTTCAAACATTATAACATAACCAAAGTAAAGCGCGCGCTCTGATTGGTCAATTTAGCGTCCCCCATTTGCCCATGGGTGTACGCTGCTGACGTGAGCAAATGCAAAGACTATTTTTCCGCGCGCGCTTGTTTTTTCTGGTCACGTAAGATTTGTTAAATAAAAGGGAACTCTTTAGCTACAATGTATCAATGTTATGTTATAAAACAAATGGTAAACACCACAGCGTACACTATTGAGTTATGGATGCACGCGGGAGGTTGCTAAGCACGAAAGAAGCGTAAGAGTCGCTCGAGGCGATAGCCGAGAGCGACTCTAGCTTCTTGAGTGCTTAGCAAACCTCCCAAGTGCATCCATAACTCAATAGTGTACGCTGTGGTGTTTACCATTTGTTTTATAACATAACATTGATACATTGTAGCTAAAGAGTTCCCTTTTATTTAACAAATCTTACGTGACCAGAAAAAACAAGCGCGCGCGGAAAAATAGTCTTTGCATTTGCTCACGTCAGCAGCGTACACCCATGGGCAAATGGGGGACGCTAAATTGACCAATCAGAGCGCGCGCTTTACTTTGGTTATGTTATAATGTTTATTGTTTTCCTTGGGAGTTTGAGTCAGTGGGCTTCTAGAACAAGTAACAAATAACCTAATATTTAAAGCTCATGTTTTTTTTAGAGTGTACTTTATCCTACAAACTATCAAATTTGAAAAAAAGCTCTGCCATATGTGAATCAATCGTGAGGAGGTTGTTGTTTGTTTACTATATGTTTCAAATGCAGGTTCATCTTCAGACACAGCAGAAGGTTGAACAGAGATTGGTGTCCATGGCAGTTCATGTTGTACGAACTCAAGGTGTATTGGCACTTTACAATGGACTATCAGCTTCTCTTACAAGACAGGTACTTCCCAATAGCAAGCTTACTCTGTTATCTTCCAAGCACATAGATGCACCTATAACACTGATGCCTAGGGTGAATCACTGTTAGTATGCCATTGGCTGCTTGTCATCTTGGATACCTGAATGCCTAGTCCCTGTCCTTCATTTCCCTTTCCACTTTACTCCATGGTTTGTTTTAGGGTGCGTCTCTCTCTCTTCAGCTTTAAAGGTCCATCTGAAGAGATTCTGATCCATCTCCATGTCTCTTACTCCATTCCAGGTGTGCAATCTCATTTAGAATGAGCTCATTCATAATGCAATAATATGTTGCTCCGTCTTAGGTCACCAAAATTGATAAATTTGGAGGTCTTGACCTAATAGAAGAAATGCAAAATATACCTTGATCATGACCATCAAATGCTTATGTTCTTTCAACCTCAGCTGACATACTCCACGACACGTTATGGATTATATGAGGTAGTCTCAGCTAGACTAAGAGAAGGAGATGGTAAGTGAGATTAAGATCATAAAATAGTGGTGCCTTTTTTCTGTCTGTGCATGCAAGATGACAGGAGGGAAGGGAAGTGGGAAGCGATAAGTTGGTACTTTGAATAATGACTTATTATTACATGACTCCGGTAGTCAGAGGGCCAATAACTAAAATCAACCAATCAAAATGCTCTATTGCCGGTCAATATTCTCTCAGTATTGGACCGGGCACTGTCCAGAATGGTCCCGAATGATACCGCAATTGTGTCCCTTTGATATAATAAATCTCTTTTTAACCAAGCTTGCTCAAGACCGTACTGGAAGAATATCGGCCCTCGGTCTTTTTTGTATGGACCTCGCTGTGCTCAGTTTGTACTGTCAAGACCTCAGGCCGATATTCTCCCAGTACGGTCCCGAGCAAGCTTGGTTAATAAGATATATATACTCTCATTGCCAGAAATGATAAATGCATACAGTAATGTCTCCTTACAACTCCATTGCTCCAGAGAGTTAAGCAGTGCTGAGAATCAACTTGGAAACATTTGTTCGTCAGTGAGAGCAAGTTATCTTTATTTAAGGCACAGTTCAAAAATACAGTTATGGCCAATATACACAATTTTAAAGTAGCTAATGATTTTATGTATAAATTCAGTCACTAACACAAAGTATGTTCAAATTTATTCATTTTGAAATAATGTATAATTGATTGCAATATCAATTACACATTATTCAACAATTACATTAGGCATATTCATACATTTATTTGTTTACTTGTTTATTTCTTTTTTTATCTGAGGCAATTTCATGAGACTTTCATTTCCACCTATTTTAGCTCCCCTACCATTTTACCAGAAAATTGCAGTGGGAGCATTGTCAGGTAAAGCAGTGGCCAAAATAAGTTCACAGAAAATTATTCTCAATAATGCACAGGAATAACCAGAGAATAACATAACAAGTTTTACAGATAGCTTATTTTGTTAAAGATCAATTGAGTAATGCTTATGTTGTGGTTATTGTCAGGGCTCGACACTAACAGTAGCCAACTAGCCACAGACCTAGTAGAAATTCAATTTCCACCTGCCAGTTTGGCTAGTTAACAAACTGAAATTGTTGTAACATCTAAGTTGTCACTAGCCACTTGGCTATAGTAAGTTGAAAAGTTAGTGTCGTCCCCTGATTATATTGTGTTGGGAAGTAACAGCGATTATTACCCTGTACATAACATCAGTATGCATATTCTCCATACTGTTCTCTTTACATTTCCTAAAGTGCTAACAAGGAGAATTTGTTTAACAATCAAGAGATTCTTAGTTGGTGATCATTGCCTTTCTGATTCTTGGGACCTTGATAGTTGATTCAGGGGTGATATTGTTAAGAGACAGACCCATCACTCTTAGGTTTCAAAGGGTTAACTTGTTTTGAATAGATTTCTGAATTTATTTATTCTAACCGATAGATCATGTTGTCTTTTTTGTCAGGTTTTATTGGAGGAATTATTGGAAATCCTGCAGATATGGTCAATGTGAGGTATTTAAGCTTTGCTTGGTTGCTGAAGGTGCTGCAATTGAACTTAAAAATAGGTACCCAAAAGGTACATGTGTGGGATACATTCATGTACATAAATAGACACAAGCTGATGACAATAGCGTGAGGTACCACAGGTATCCCACCTAAAAATGAATTAATTATAATAGTCAATTAATTAAGGCATAATTGATTCCAAATAGATCATTTTAATTGTCTTGATGAGTTCATTAATTAGTTGATTAATATCTTGTGACATGTGACATTACTATGTATTGTTTTCTTTTTTGCCTTCTTAGAATGCAAAATGATGTTAAAATAATGGATGTTACAAAGAGGAGGAAGTAAGTGTTGCAGGATATCTGAATATTAATAAGGATTGCACATACAAAAAACACTTGAGGTTAAGAATGAGGAGTTCAAAGTAAGTGGGAGAACAAGGAAGTAGCAAAAGACTCAAATGCATTTTGAAAAAATCTTTCAGAAGGCTATGAAAATTGAAGATGCCATGTCTTCCACACCTTATATGGAAGGCCTGCATGTATGGGCAATGTTGTTATTTAATAGAAATTCAATCCTGCAGAGTGAAGAATTTGCTCCTTTTGTAATAGCTAGTAATAGCTGTGACTTGCATGCTCTGTTCTTTGCACTTTTTTTGCACCTCTAATGCAACATGTGATTATCTTCTTTTCAGTTACAGGCATGTATTTGATGGTCTTTACCGAACAGCAACAGAAGGTATATTTATGGCAGTTTATGCATGCTAAGAGATGATTGATATAATCAAACTTCAAATCAATTTTTGAAATTTGACTGTAAATCACATGTCTGATGGCTTGTCATATTAAATTTGTCATGCATAGTATTTCTCATTCATTTCTAATTGGAAAGCACACAAAAACATGCCGGGTGTAGCCAACTAAAGGAAGAGGGGCAGCTCAAAGAAGCTTATAAGCCCTTATTCTTTGTCACAAAAAGGGACACATATTGCAAACTGAGGAGGTTGAGATTATTTGTAAAACCAGGCATCCCTTGAACAATATGCCTCCTTAAAAAAGAACCTTGCTTTTACCCCCCCCCCCCCCCCATCAAGTTACTTAACTGATAAAGAAGCCTACTATCAGCTTCCCCCATCAAATTTTGCATCAAGACCGTAAGAAGCTGTGTAATGTCCAGAAATTGTAGTTTTAGGGGTCCTAATATACTTTGATTAGCAGTTTTACACTGGTCTTCGTTTTACTCTTGGTGAAAACTCATTGATTACTGAATGTTCACTTTAGTTTTCTTGAATTTTTACTTTAAAATTTAACAGAGGGTATTTCTACCTGGATGAAGGGTGTGCAAATGACCTCATCTAGGGCTGTGTTGATTACAGTGGCCCAGGTAATTGCGTCGTCATTTTTATCTTGTGTCTTTTATATTCTATAGACTACGAGTAGACCCTCCTATTTAGCAAAGTCCGTCGCACAAGACCGAAAGAAATTAAAAAAACAGGGAAAAAAGCTCCCAGAGGTCCCCGCGGTGTGCAGTATTTTTTTTCGCCGATTTTTTCGGGCTAGCGCGACGGACCTCTTAGAAAATGAGGGACTGCTCGAGGTGAATCTATATCCTTTTTCATCCTTTATATCTCTTAGAACTGTTTAGGGTATTGATTTTTAAATTTTGTTTGGTAAATTTTTTCCTCTTTCTAGTGTCTGCATCGTGCTTCTCAACTTGTATCGTTGAATTGCAAAGAAAGTCGCTTTAGTCCAACCTGAGCTCCTTCAGCAACATTACCCAATAAAAACAAACCCCAAACCAACAGAAAACGATATAGGAGCAAAAGTCACGAACACAAAAATAGTTACTGCCTTGAACGCTTGAAATGAAGAGTCAACTAGCACAGGGCAATAGTATAACGTACGCTTCGTTTGTTTTATTCCTGTATAGGTAGCTTGCTATGATCAAGTTAAACAGCTATTACTTGGCTCTGGGTAGGTTAATCCCTCTGAAAGCTTGTGGGCCGGTGTTTAGATCAATAGCTTGCGAGCGAGGAGCGAGCACACGGCTGAATATGCCCCCTCCCCTCCCCCTCAGGAAAAAGGAGGAATATTCCAGCGATGTTCCCCCAACTTTGCATCGATGAGATGAATCTTAATTCAAGAGGGAGATCTCTTTATTGTTGTTACTAAGGAAGAAACAAACTTACTTGGCGGTGAATTCTAAAACTAGGCTTTATCTACCATCAGCAAAAATCTTTCGGTATTGCAATTTGAAAAAGTCGGCTTCGTGCACACCGAAGATTTCTGGCACTAAGTTGTTCCCACAAGTTTGCCGGTCTCGCGAGGCCAAAGCTCAAGTTTTCTGCAAACTTGGTTCTCTGAAAGTATTTCGTTTCTCAGGAGAGGTGATCTCCATACAATATCCGAAATATTTTCTATTGTTTACACTTTAGTTGATAACTTTTCTCCTGTCTTTATTCCGACATGATTTCTTTCGATTATTTCAAGAAACTGGTCCATCAACACTTCAGTTCTATATTTTTTACAGGTACTTCAGTGACAATATAATAACCCATTTCACAGGCAGTTTTATAGCGGTAAGATTATTTTGTCCATCATCCATGCTTTTACCTTCACTGGATTTGAGGTGAAATTCACATACGTTTTCGCACCGAAAAAAATGAGTCCTGTCGCCACCACGTTGTTTCCTTCAGGGCACAATTGCGACAGGCATTACGCAACCAGTTGATGTCATGAAGACAAGACTAATGGAAGCAAAACCAGGACAATACAAGGTGCTGATAGAATATATTTCTAGTTTTGCTGTAATGGTAATTGAACGGAGTGGAGTGTAATTTGGCCTGAAATCACACACGTGATTTCAAAGCTCACACGAGCGCGCAGTGCGAGTCTGATTTGAAATCAAAAGTGTGATTTCAGACCAAAGTTGAACGACGCGAAGTTCAATTACGACTTTATTATATCCATTTTGAAATCGCAAAATTCAGTCGCTGAGCTACAGGGCTTTTTAGTCTCTACAAATATTTCACTGGATGATCCAGTGCTGCGCTGGTTTGTAGAAATCTGCAGAATTTTTTGCAATTTTCCTGTAAATTGATTGTTTACTTTAAAACAAGCCTTGAAATCTGATTGGCTTTAGTGTTTTAGTAAACCTTTCTTATTGGCTGGGAAAAAGATGCAATTTATAGCAAAAAATGCGATTTGTGAATAAATCGCACCGATGAGAGCCAAGTAGATTGCAAGTATCACCAGTGATTTAAAAATGAATGTGAGAATTAAAAAAAAACTCCTCAAGTGACGCCTGAAAGGCCTTTATGTTCATCCACCATGTTTAAGCCCAGAAGGAAGGTTTTTAACAATTGTTCTCCGAAGGGACGTTGAATAATTATTTTAGTGTATACCACACAGAAACCAAAAAACTTAGCTAATTTCTGTAAATATACCAAAAATGGTCGGAAATTAAAATCGTGACGCGCTATTGAACTTTGTAAAACGACCATGGCATGCTGTAATGGTTTATCAGGTAGAGTTGGCAGGTAACTTTTCCGTTTATGAGTTTGTAATACGCCCCTGATCTTAGTCTTAGAAATTATTTTGCTCTCGGGGAGGGGCTACGGTGTGCATTATTTTGCTCTCGGGGAGGGGCTACGGTGTGCATTAGCAGAGGAACTGTCTTAGGGACGTTTGGCTTTTTACGAACCCTGTAACTTTTAAGATAAATGATTCAAAATTAAAACTGCGAATATTTAAATCTTGCAGAGTATTCTAGATTGCATACTGTACACCGCACGGCTCGGACCTAAAGGGTTTTACAAGGTACGACTGAATTATTTACTGATAGCTCTTTATTTAGAACCCATAAAATTTGGACAGTTTCTAATAATTGAATGAGTAATACAACTGTCCTTGTAGCAGGTTCAAACAACCTTAATAATCGCCCGTGGGCGACTTCGTCTCGGCCCACAAAAATGCTAAAAAAGAACTCGGCCAATATCCAGACATCTTGACCTTACGCTTGATAACGCATGACATACCGAAATAGTGTGCGTGATGCTTTAAAGAGTGGACTATTATACGGCTCAATTTTCCGAAAACAACTTAGTTGAAATTTGACTGCAGTCTTTCAGTCCTCTTTTTCTGTGAATGATAATAGCTGACAGCAATTCTCAAGATACTCAAGTGGTAAGGACAATCAAATTTCGTCAGTTTCTGGTGATTTTCTCGAAAAAAATGTCCTGAATTAGTTTATGTTATTTTCTTATCAGGGGTTTATTCCAGCCTGGATCCGTTTGGAGCCCTACACAATTTTAACGTGGATCTTCCTTGAACAGCTTCGTGTGTTTTTTCCTCTAAAGGAATCTTAGATTGTTTATCTCTACAGTTGCAATCCCACAAGAATGGTTAAACGCAGGGATGAAATTTGGATAGTTTTCTGGCAGTAAACATCGAGCAAAGCCCCTAGGGAACCTGTCAAGGATTTAATGTCCAACGACAATGTGAAGGAACAATGAAAAATTTCTAAACATCAATCAAAATGCTGTGTTAAAAACGGGTATATAGAATCTCTAAAAGATTTGTATAATATAGTAGTTTTCGATGAAATTAGAAATTATATGATGAAAAACTTTTTTAGTGTGAGCCAACAAATAATGTAACATGTACTAAAGAAAATGGTTGAAAAATTCGGCCTTTTATATTTTTAACGCTTTGTTTGATTTTATAAAATTTCAAAATGTGAGTGTTCATATGGTTAGGAAAATGTCAAATTTACGATTTTAATAAAATTAAAGTACAGCGTTTCTCGGTTAACTGTATTTTTTAGCGGTGTTAGAAATATATAAGAAAGTGACAGTCATAAGTGCGTGACACTTGATTAGCGTTACGTTTTATATCAGCGGATGATGTCAGCAATGACGTAGATTGTATTTCCTTAGAAATCTGATCGCGGGTGTATTCAATAGAAAGGGGTGACATAGGGAGTGATCTAGCTGTGAACATTAAAAATATTTAACGAGACTGAGAGTGACTTGTGTTGATATCTGCGTTTCCAACAGCGGCTTAGATGCGTAAAAACAAGCCGGAGAAAGCTTCAGAAGTTCATCAATCTTTATCTAATAAGTTAAATATTCCGGAGGCCTGACATCAATATGCATATCATTTCTCTCTACTGTTCTCTATACATTTCCTAAGGTACAGAGAAGGAGAATTTGTTTGACAATCATGAGTTTCACTACTTGGTGATCATTTCCTTTATTCTCCTGACCTTAATGTTTGATTCAGGGGTGATATTGTAAGGAGAAATTAGACACTGGTCACTCTTAGGGCCTATCCTGCTTTGAGTCATCTGATAGACGCTGCTATGTAAGTGACATAGAGAATTTAGAAATCACGATTGATATAAAATCAAAAGCAGTAAAACTTTATATGAGGTAATACCCTAAAGGCTCAGATAAAGTGTCCCTTGGACGGCAGGTTACACTGAATCGAACAACAGCTCGCCAATCGCTGAGAGAAAAGAATGAGAATTGTCAATTTGCCCGGATTTTATCAAATCGTAAAGCTCTAGAGGTTTTGCGTGGGCATGTAAAGGATTAGCTTGCGCGAAGGGGGGTATTTTTTTTTTTAAGAACTGGTAGAGTAGTTGGAAACAAGCGTGAAATTATCGTAACCATTATATTCTTGGTCTATCGTTCAAAAAGCACTAATATCTTGATGAGGCGCTCGACTTCGTCCCGGGGTGTTTCCGGAAAAAAAACAGAAGCGCACTCTTACCACGTGGGGCTTTGCCCTCAAACCATAAAAAAAAAAAACTTGACATCTCTCACTGATGACGTTTCAGATAGGATAAAAAATAAAAATGAAATAATGATTACAAGTGCGGTGTTCAAGGTTATATGTTTTAAGACATACCGACCGACCTCAGCCATAGGCAGGGTAAGGCTATTTCCCTCATTCACAAAGTATGAATTTTTAACAGGACTAAAAACGTCCTTTGAACTAAAAGCGAAACTGCGGGTGAACGTTAAACAAATATTGGTGGCAGTGTTTGATACTGCTGAAAGATTCTGACATGTCAGATAGATACTTATCAAAAGACATATAGGATTGTAATGTCACCAATGATAAAGAAGTTGCTGTCTGTACTACTCAGAATTCTCGCTCTACTGCGTTCACCAGAAATGATGCAAAAACACACTCATCTTCAATCGAAGATTCTATGGTCATTTATAACCCTTTTATCGCAAAGTTATTTGTAAGAATTCTGCCGATAGAAAAAGGCAAGCGAATGTGTATCTTCTTTACTCCCAAGCTATATCAAAAGAACAGAAATTGGAAGGTTTGTTTTCTTTCCGCGTATAAACAGCAATTTTAATGGAGATAATGTGTCGATAAGGTCAGACGGTTTCATCTTAAACGCTCTTTTCTGTTGCCATTTCCTTTGTTCGCTGTGAAGTCCGTCGTATTGTGCTGCTTTTTCACATGCTGTGTTCTCGATAAAAGTCAAAAGAACATTTTGCTATTGTGATTACATAAATTGAAGTTTTATGGAAAAATTTCGTGAGAACAAAGCAAATGGCACGTTGAGACAGCTGAGCTTGTTTTTCGCACTGATGTGACAAGAACAAACCAAAGTACGAACGGCATTTCTATTAAGGAAGATTTGAAACCTCGACGTTTCAGTCACCCATCCTTTTGCTGTCAGCGCTTATCTCGCTCGACTGTGCAATACGAAGTGTTATTGACGGTAGTAATAGTCAAGAGATTGTACCCTCTCAAGTGAAAACCGCCTTCGCTTGGATCAAGTTTCTTTCTTCGCTGACGAAAGCAATTGTTTGCAACACGTCACGTCCATCAAGCTTCCTCTTGTGCGCAACCCAGTTGATACCAGTGGATCCGGCAGAGTGGTGGTCAAATAAGCAACTTGTCTCATGGTAAGTAAGCTTTTACTGTGTTTAATATAAAGACTGCATGTGATCAAGTATTTTTAGTTAAAAACTAGAATTTTCTTTAATTGGAGACAAATATCTCTCAGCATCTAAATAACTCAGTACAGTAAACAGATATATGTTCTTTACAAAATAATCAAGTGAAGACTCAAAAAGAATTTTCTAGAGTGAATTTAGATGTATAGTGGATGTAGCACGTGTTGGAAAGTGTCTAGGAGCACTTTTAAGCGTTTGAATAAAGACTTAAATCTTCCCCCGACTATGTTGAAAAGCACCATGCTTTCGATGATGGCTTTCTGTTTCACTCTTGAGAACTTTACCCACAGCATTATGGAAGATATCTACGAATTCGTCACATAACTTAGAATGAAATTAGAATGAAGTTGTAACTTAATCGATCTTGCTCATCTAAAGGAAAGGTTGCGAAACAGCATGTACAAATAATAAGGACATTTTAAACAGGCGATAGTAGAACATACCCGGCAGTACTAGTTTTGTCGGCCGTGTGCGAGATGAGTACTGCAAAGCGGCATTGATTACGTAGTTTATTTAGTCAATACAGTTCCCTTGTTTACTCTTAACACCGAATTGAAGTAACATTCAAAGGCAAATTTCAATCATAATCTTCGCTGAATTGAACGAATTCTTTCTGATAAAATAAACAAACCAAACCCAGCTTATGTCAGCATTGTCAAATTGAGTGATGTTAAAGCTGTTTCGTCATAACTGGTTACAATTTCCTACATAAGTTAGTGTCCGATTTCAAATGAAACCCTTTTTCCTCAAAACAGTTATTTTCCTAATGATTGATGCTTCATCAGAATCATTGAAAAAAATTTGACCTTTATGCCACTGTAGAGTATAGCTTGCAAGAGACAAATGGCACAACACTTGGTGACTCAGCGAGTCAAGAATAATAGTCACGTTAAACAGCGGAAGACTGAAAATCTGTCTTCCTGATAAAATCAAAGGTAGGATATTTAGCACTCATTATCTCGTTATTTTGCAGGAATTGACGCTAACAGAGGGACAAATAGCAGGTAGGAAAATAAAAACCACCAGCACGCAAAACCATATCGGCTATCAACCTGTCTCGATGTAAGGAGATTAACGTACCTAATTTCGAGATTGCACAAGTGAAATGGACTGATAATTTTTTCTCATCATGCGTTTAGGGTTCTTTGTACTTAACAGAAAAGAGGTTGACCAAAGAAAGTTTGCCTCTCAGCTAGCTTCACCTTGAAGGACTCTTTCGTCTGAATGAAGAGAAGTTGACAACAAACTCTCAATATTTCATCAGTCATAACTGAGATGTTTTAAAAGGATTATGGTTGAAAAGACCCGTGAACTGAAAGAACAGAGAAAAGCGAGGAAAGAGGACGAAGTCTCTGTTCTTGTTTTTTTTTTTTTTCCTTGTTTTTTTCTTTTAGTTTTATTTGATAGTTAGGATCGCTAATTGTTATGATTTTAATTTACGCATAGTGGTTTTGCGGTTTTGTTGACTTGTGTAACAATTTTAATGTCAGCCAATAACTGAACCAGGATCGAAACGGCAACTGCTGGTTACTGGTTACTTGAGTTCGTTCAGTTTTAGTTCCTTCATTTTAGTGAGGTCAGTTATAACAGTTTTTTTGGTTTGATTTACAGATTTTAAGGAGGCGTTCTCGCTTCTTGATAAAGACGGTGATGGCACCATAACCACAAAGGAGCTTGGGGTTCTAATGAGGTCCCTGGGTGAAAATCCAACCGAGCAGGAACTGGAAGAGATCATCTTAGAAATCGACATGGACGGTAATGTTTGTCTAGATTCGAGCTTTGATTACACGAACACTGTCAAAAGTAGAAGGCTTCATCATTTCTAGATACCACTGAAAGTTAATTGTGCAATTTTTTTTTAGTTACTTCTTTTTAAATTCGTTTCTAGATTAAGGTTTTTATCTCCGAAGGGAGCTTTAGCCTCACACAACTGTAACATTCTTTTTGTCATGCAATTTGTTTAACTCCTATGTGGGACCAAGACAGAATTTTTCCTTACAATAACATTACAATATCACTGGAGCAGACGAGTGATGACAAAAATGCTATTTAGGGGATTGTTTGATCAAATACCAAATTCTCCAAACTGACATGATACAAATTGTATAGCAGCCAGAAAGGAGAATTAACGATAAGTTCTGGGTGTGAAAGGGCTGTGAATTTAGAAGTGGCGTCTGATAAGAAACGGAATAACGAAAATTTTTCAAAAGAAGTAGATCGGGTCCAATCCTGCAGATTTAAACTGAGCCAGATTCTTTTTTTTTTCAAGGCAATGGCATCATTGACTTCAGAGAATTTCTTCACTTGATGAACACCCGGATGAAAGAAACAGACACCGAAGCAGAAATACGAGAAATGTTCAAAGTTTTTGACATGGATGGTAACGGGTACATCAGCGCTGAAGAATTCAAGTGGACTATGATGAACCTTGGTAACCAGTTGACTGAGGAGGAGGTCAATGAGATCATCAAAACGGCTGATTTGAACGGTGACGGACAAATTGATCTTGAAGGTATAACAATTGTCCATTTTACAGTTGGATGCTTGGTGGCCAAGCCTTTGAAAAGGAGTGAGGCTAACGGTGACCTTATTATGATACAAACCTTGGTGCTTTTCAAATGTAAATTACTTTGTTATCACGCGAACTAGGTACAGGTCTCTATCACAACAAGGTCACCTTCAGCCTCACTCCAAATCAAAGGTTTGGCAATCAAGTACACAGCTTTAAAATGGCCTATTGTTTATTTTGCTTGCTTATTTTCTTTTTCATCCCCACCGCTGTTCGACTATTTCGTCGATGTTTCTTATCAGCCTTTTCTCTTTGCCTGTCGGGTTTGTTTGCACATGTGATAAAAGGTCTACTGGCTAACCCTATCTCGTTTTGTGGGATTCATAAAAATAACTAGTTTTTGTAGCTTTCTAGGGCTTTCTGACCTTGTTTAACAAACTCCCCCCAAAATATTTTTGTCAAAGGGTGTGGAGGGGAAGGCAGTTTTAAAGTAAGACTCCTTGTCGTTGCCAATTCAAAGTGGCAACTCATGGGAATTAAAAAAAAAAAAAAAGAAACAGGTGTGCACTAATCTAGGCGCCACTGTACCAGACCCTTGAGTTGTAAAATTCTGCCAGTGCCTCTGTAATGGTTCTCAATGGGGTTAACCGTTAGCCGTAAAATGGCCAAACAACTAAGCCGTTAGGCGCAAAAATTGACAAATTTCAACTGTTAGCCGTAAAATAAGTAAAGTCTGTTTACGAGCCTACTGGCCCATTGGGCCGGTGCTTAACTCCGGTTTCTGTAGCATGAAGCGACTAGGAGTATTTCTACTCCCCCCTGGATGGGATGCCAATCCATCGCAGCATTAAATTGTCAGTCCACCACAGCATTAAATTGCCGGTACCCATTTATACACCTGGGTGAAGAGGGGCACTGTGAGAGTAAAGTGTCTTGCCTAAGAACACAACACAATGTCCCGGCCGGGGCTCGAACCCGGACCACTCGTTCCGGAGGCGAGCGCACTAACCATGAGGCCACCGCGACTCCACCGTTAGCCGTAAAATGGCCAACATTTTAACGGTTAACCGTAAAAGCCTTCACCCTATTGAGACCCTCCTCTGTAGAGGTTGTACTGAAAAGTAAGCATTTCCCAAATAATTGAGGTACTTTATGCCAGTTTTAACTTTATTTCCGACACGTCGCTTTACCTGATTTCTTTTTCTTTCAGAGTTTGTGAAAATGATGTCCTCCTAAGCCACCCCGTGCTATTAGCATTATGTAATGGTTTGATAGTCGTGCAGTGGACACTCAAGACACAGGATTGTTTATGCTGGCATCATGCACTGTATTTCTCTGAAAGTGTCTGTAAAAAGGAATGAAATGCAAACTTTCCAGAAGTCATGAACTTACACAACAGTGTGAAATCACAAAGTTCAACCAGCGCCACTAGCAACTGATCATCGAAATGATGTTTATATTTTAGATAAATTTATAAAATAACTGAGATACTACTAGCGGCTTGGTTGATCACAAAACGATCTTTTGTTGCACAGGTAATCCCATAGAAAATTGATATTTTATAAAAGCAATAGACCACTCTTTCCATCGATTTGCAGGCGTAATAACCCACTTGGGATATTGGGGGAAAATTACAGAAGTTTGGTTTTCGTCTTGTCACAAGCGTGGGACAAAGAAAAATTCTGATTCCCTGTGAGGAATCGAAACTCAGACCTTCGGACTCCGCGCTCCAAAGGTCTGAGGTTCTGATTCCTCACGGGGAATCAGAAGTTTTTCTTTGTTCCACACTCGTGGCATGACGAATAACATCTTTCTCTATTTTTGTTTTTGTTTTTGTTTTTGTTTTTACCAAGCACAAAACTCACTATCTTTCTTATTCTACTCATGAGAGAAGTTTATCACTTGTCCCCGGCTCTTGATCAACCAATTTTTCTTTTGTTCTCCCAACATCTTTTGAGATGTTTACCGACGTAATAACCCACTCTGAAGTGCGTTATTAGCCCGGTGGAACCGATAGAAAGTGAAGTCTATTTGTTAAATATCAATTTGTAAAAAGCTTGCAATTTATTATAAGCCACACTATATAACCTTAGCTAAATTAGACTACTTTATGATGGCCATAGCGAAGCAGGATGTTTTATGAAACCGAGGTTACAGGAAAGTCACGTGTTTAAACTCTGCTCTTAACCCTTGGACCCCTATGAGTGAGTAACATCTAATTTTAATTTCTCCTTACAATATCACCCCTGAGTCACACATTAAGGTCACGAGAATAAAGGAAATGATCACCAACTAAAGAAGCTCTTGATTGTAAAACAAATTCTCCTTGTCAGCACCTTTAAGAAATGTATAAAGAACAGTATGGAGAATATACATACTGATGTTAGGGTATGACCGGTTGAGAGCGTGTAGTTTCCAACGCCTATATTTCTAACTTATAGTGAATTTGGCTGGTTTCATTTTGTTTCCTTTTGCTCCTTTCTTTTTTCGCTTTCATTTTTTTTTTACAATTGTTTTTCTAATTTCTTAGGGTTGCCTTGTTTAGTTTTGTTTCTGTTTAGTTCAGTGGGTTGTGTCTTTCACCACTAAGTTGATTTGGGAGCTAAGTGTGCTTTATAAAAAACGCTTTTATGGTCTCCGTCATGATGGAAACGTCTGTAGACTGTAGACTGTATTTATTAAAAAAAACATTGCAGTTAAAAAACTGAATTGTGTCTCTTAACAAGTAAGAAATAAGAAATGATCTATAACTACTGCTATAATAAAATTACAAAGACGACTACTCTTAAAAATCACTTAAATGCTTCCCTCGTACTCTTAACAATAAACGAATTTCCAAATCTATTTGTCTTTACAAGAGGCGTGGCAAACCTCCTCTGCCTTCTCAGCTCATATGAAATAGAAACTGAGGGAGGCAGGAGGCTGGTAATCTTACTATGCGGATCATTCACAATAGACTTAAACAGATGTTCTGTTAAATTTTCCTGGTGGGCACTGATGGACTCGAGCCCTGTTAACTGAAGGGCGTCCGAGTAGTGCACAAAATGCATGAGAGGGCCCTCCTTTGCACACCTTCAAGTTCGACTTGAAGATACTTTGGTAAACCGTAATGGAAAACAGGACAAGCGTAATCTAGTGAAGACATAATACATGCACAAAAATATGTTACAAGAACTGAAGTAGGAACATGCGCACGCTTAAGTTGAATAAGAAAGTACAGTTTCTTAGACGCTTTCTTAACAAGTTCTTCTATATGGTCGTTCCACGTTGACGTATCATTGATTGTCAAACCGAGTAACTTTGTGCTCTGTATGGTTTGGATAGAAGATCCGTCTATGCAAGCCCTAGGGAGTTGCGGGAGATCACGACTGAAGGATCTAACTAATTCTTTAGTTTTCTCGTCATTAAGCTGGAAAAAATTTTCCTTGGACCAGTTGTGGATTTCTTCTACTGCTTCTTGTGACTTGCTCTGCTGACCTTTAGGTATGCTCTCTGATACCATAGTATCATCAACATATTTCCACATGTTAAAGATACTTGGAACAGTCAAGTCATTAATCTTCAAAAGAAAAAGCCAGGGACCCAACTTTGCCCCCTGTGGTACTCCAGACAGCACTGTGCCCCACTCTGAAAGGCAGTCCTTTCCAAGTTTGACCCTTTGAGATCTTCCTGAAAGGAAGTCAATAACCCAGTTGATCACACTATTAGGAAAATTGACCTGCTTCAGTTTGTTGACCAAAATCTTGTGGTCTATGAGGTCAAAGGCCTTTCCATAATCAAAGAGGAGGACACGCACAGAAGCACCGTTACCATCCGTTACTTCGAGCACTTTTTGTAGGGTCTTAGCGTGCGGAATGTTTTTTTTGTTTTTGTTTTTCTCATTCAATCAATCATTAGGGTGTCCTTTTGTGTTGCCGCTGCTTCTCGTCATTCGTTAGTATTTTTCCGCTGGTCAGTTAGCTTCTGTTGTTTCTGTGTCACGTATCTTCGTTAATTAGTTTCTTTCGTAATATAGGCGCTAATTGCACTTTAAGTTAGCTAGTCGTTTTCGCATGTATAAATTAGTTTTTCTCAAGTTCAGAGTTTAGTCTTCCGTTAGTCATACAGTAGTTCGCTTTGAGCAGTTACTCCAGTTCATCTTATTTTCGCCTTTTGGCAGTTTATATTCGTCCAGCAGTTTCGTAGAAATCGTAACAATGTAAGTATTGTCTTTTCAAGTTTATTCAGTTCGTTCAGTGTATTTCTTTCCTGTCGCTTTTGTTAGTCGATTGTTGTAATTTCGTATTCATTTATTGTTTTAAGTTTCAACCCACATAACGTCAACATCATTCGTACCCAATAAATACGTCTTCATCATCGTGGTGTTGTGAGGTTACGATTACTGCAGTTACACTTATGAATCATACTAATGAGTGCCAACACGGTTGAAGAACCAGATATGGTACCAAACAGGTTCGAGTCAACTAAGCACTCTAGGGCAGGATTTGTGTAATCAGAAACAATAAAGTCCTCGGATATTTTCGAGAGGGTAGATGCAAGAGAGATTGGACGCAGTTCCTTTTTTGGGTCGGTGACTTCCTTCACCTTAGGCAGGGGGGTGACATCTGCAATTTTCCACATTTAGGGTAGTTTTTACTCACTGAATGAGGCATCCAGGATGTTTTGAATGGGGGTAACTAGAATTTCGGCATACTCCTTTAACACTGAGTTGGAAAGACCATCCGGGTCAGGAGCTTTATGCTTATTCAGGTAAAGCAGGTTGTTATACACTCTTTGCACGGACACTACTAGGAACTCCGGATTCTCTTCTAGGGGCAATTGTAAGACCGCACGCTCTCTCTCGATGGCTCGTAAGATTGAAGTGGCTCCAGTAATGCACGGTTGATAGAACTAGCAACTTCTGTTGGAGACAAGCTGTTGTACTAAGGAACATCGAGGGAGGAGAATAGAGACGACCTTTGCTTTTTTGATCCACTGAGCCTATTCACTTCCTTCCACCACTGGCGCGGGTTGACACCTTTAAGATATTTCACCTTAGAAGTATAATACCTTGCTTTACACCGTTTCCTTTCGTTATTTACTGCATTTCGATAGTACTTGTACATTAGGCTTGACTTGTTGGCGTGAAAAGTTTGCTGGCGCATGCGTATTAACTGCTTTAGCTTGACTAACATCCAAGGGGCGTCCTTTGGGTAGACTTAAATCGTTCTCTCGGGCATGATATTACTCATGCCGATTTCAATCACTTCGTTAAAAACCTGAAGTTTTTCCTCACAGGTAGGCCGGCTGATGACAATTGACCAATTAATGCTACTGAAGTACCGACCAAGGCACATCTTATTACTGTCACTAATGTCTCTGATGGTGATGGACTTCCGAGTATGTTGGTTGGGTACTCTCTTCCTTGGCTGAACAATAACTGTACAATGGTCAGAAAGGCCGAAAGGTGGAAAACATTCGGGAGTCGAGAAGTGGTCGCCCAAGTTGGTTAAAACCAGGTCAGGCGTTGTATCACCTTTTGTTGGAAATTTCACAAGCTGTTTCAATTTGAAATGACACTGCAAACGACCTGTATTCAAGCGGTTAAAATCGCCAGTAATAATTAGCCCGCAGATAGGAAACATGGTTTCTGCTGCTGTCAAACTGTCAAGTAGAGATTGAGTAGCCTCTGACCATCGCACTCCACCGGGCTTGTCCGGCCAGGGTAGTAAACAACAGCTAAAATCACGCATGAAAAACCGCGAGGAGATCTTGAGGGCATCAGTTTGACCCAAATAGTTTCGTGGTCGATGCAGCATGTTAGAGTTTCCGGAAGTTCATATTTTATGTCCTCTTTGATGTAAACACACTCCTCCGTGATCGAGTGAAGAGCGGTCTTTCCGTACGATATTATAGCCCTCAATGTTTACAACCGAGTCGCTGATGTGTTCTTTAAGCCAAGACTCTACAATACATCCAATTTGAACATTTTTCCGTAGAGGAAGTTCTTGGACCTCACTCAGCTTTGGTATCAGAGACATAGGGTTGGACAGCATTATTGATGGAACAAAATGAGAGCCGGCCGCGGGTTGGACTTGGAGTTTCTTTGCTGAGATAGGAATCAAATTATTCACATTCACTCTCCGAGATGAGTTTGAGTAATTTGCATATGAAACTCGTGGCGAATTGAGCACAGAAATATTAGTTATTTTCCTTAGTTCTTCAGCTTTGGTTTTCAAACCAGCTCTCCTGCCTCTAGGCCGACGATCGCGACTTAATTCTCGAGAAGAGATGGTTTCCGCCCTCATACCGTAACAGGATAGGTCAAATTCTTGATTCGAAACTTGCTTCGATGGTGACGGTTGAGCGGTTTCGGCTGGACAAGAACAGAAAATTCCAAAATATATCCCAAAACAAACCGAGAAAGATTGAAAAGGATGCATAAGACGACAGAACCATAAAACCCTCTTTCTTGAGATTCGACTGAAGAGCTTAATGGTGGATTAGGAAGCTATTATAGCCCTCAATGTTTACAACCGAGTCACTAATGTGTTCTTTAAGCCAAGACTTCACACTACATCCAATTTGAACATTTTGCCGTAGAAGAAGTTCTAGGACCTCAGTTGTTTTAAAGAAAATAAAGAAAATAAAGCTTGTTTTACTCTCGATTAACCTGAATACCTGGTGGAGTTCTTACAAAAAGCAGCTTAAGTCATTTTCTGGTTCTATGAACTGAGTCCATAATGAAATTGGCCACTGACGTTTCCAGCGTTAGCCCTTCGTCAGAGCGACGAAACTCTTTACGGTGGCCAGTTTACATTATCAATTCAGTTGATAGAACCAAAATTACCTTATTATCCCCCACCGACACAGCACCATAGTTTCTTTACAATTGTACCTCCTTCATTCCTAAGTCATTAATTCTCAAGTCCAGTGTTGCCATTCTGGCTGCTTAGGGTCCCTATTGAGATCTTTATCATGGTTATCCTTGATCAAGCAATTCTGACCTGGGCAATGTTTATGAACAGTCACTTTAAGAAAGTTTTAAAACAGTTCTCATAATGATTATCTCATTTGTGAGCTAACACCTTTTCGAGGCTCGGTACACACACTCACTCCTGTTGGCTGATGAACCTCCGCTAATCAGACCCTCATTTTTGGTCCTTCGAACCTGAAAAAGAAAAAGCATGCATTGTGATGATATGTGTAACAAGGCAAAATTTAGCATCATAAAAGACATTAGGGATTGTGTCAAAGAGATGTAGACAAGAGTGATCCAGTAGGCAGGAATGCCTTCAGCCTAGACCTAACCTCTCCCCGCCCTAACTCGGACGTACCATTGGTGACCAAGGACCCTAAGGTATGGTGTCGTACTGTTAACTAGATCCGGGACCGTCTGATTAGGGTGTACGAGTCGTTGAATCAAAACAAAGACACCAAAACAGCTATATTTAACAATTATTCGTCGAAGGCGAGGTGAATATCGTTGAATAATCCCCGAGACGAAGTCCAGGGGATTATTCGACAATATTCACCGAACCTGAGGCGAATAATTGTTTTAGTATAATTTCAGAGCTGAACAACGGAGAAATTTCTAAAATCATAACATTTTGGTAACATTTATTAACATTTTAGTAACATTTATTAACATTTTATTTTAACATTTTATATAAACCGCGTGGAACGGTTTATAGAGCGTCATATAAGGAACCACTCGACCAATCAGATTGCTGGAAACTCTTTTCTCAGCTCTGAAATTATACTAAAAAGATATATATCCCAAGAAGTTCACGATGACTCAAACAAGATGCAACACATGGTAAATTGAATTGGAAAGTGGCTCACTTGGTCTTGGTTAAGTTTAGAAAATTATTGATGGAAAAAAGGGCTCAAATTTGCACGACCAGATACTAGTCAAAAGTAAGGTAAGGCAAAATCAATTTTTTTTTCAACACAAAACAGAACAATCACTAAGATGAATCAATCAGCCAGCCAAGTACCATCCACGCTGTAACTTATAGACACTTATCATTAAAACACTCACTCTTTCTCTTTTTGTGGTTGTTTCTCCATTGTTTTGGCGCATGCGCTCGAATCACTTTTACGTTTCCAAAACGAAGGCCAACAGCGATAAGAGGCTCGTTGAGAGAAGTTCCAATGCAGGTCGGGCGCTCTCCTATGTCCAGGACCGCTAGTACTTCTCCAGTCGCACCACTGAAAAGTCGTACGTTAGACTCATATCTGTAGCAGACCATAGTTTCGCCATCGTTGAGAAACCTGCAGTCGGCGATGTCGTAACAGTTTTTTAGAAAGATGTGCTTCCTCATTCCATTCCTCGCGTTGAGAGTGTGCAATCCATAGCCGCCATTCAGAGTATTCCATGTGACGACCACGTCTCCCTGAGGAGAAAATACGCAGTGTGGATGTCTCCAGTAACTACTGCCTTGGTACATGACGTCTTCTTTCCAAATGGAAACGTCTTCTTCACGTCTGTAGAGGAACATCTCGCGCTTTCCGACGTTGTTTTCTCCGCAGAATACCACATTTCTTTGAAGACTACATGCTATCGAGTTTAATTCTGGGTTACCATTTAAAGTCCTCTCAAACACAACTACCCATGTTAAGACATCAAACCAGACAATTACGAGTTCGTGTTGTCCTTTGGATGAAAAGTTTGGCCTGCGTAAAACGCATCCAACAAGATCTTTCGATACAGGAATCAGTCTTTCGACTTCGCCCATCATGGTGATAGAGTTGAGACTTTGAGACAGGTCACTGTTCCATACCTCTAGCGTCTTGCTGTCTGTTTGCACGAGAATACCTGGCTCATAATTGTACGTGACAGTTACGCTCAGGATCCCATTCTCGACACGACGTGAACTGTGTTGGAAGGATTTTTCCTGCTTCATTTCTCTGGCATTCTCCCTGTCACGCATAGTTAATGTCACCAAGCGTTGCTCATCCGTCACCTTCGACGGGTTGCAAATGGTAATAGCTGTGTACAAGTGCGGGCTTCCGTCATCTGTAGAAAACGCAGTTTGTGCTGTTCTTGGCATCTCTACGTCTCCTGGGGGACGAGTAATTTTAAGCGTCGTCAAGTAGTTGACAGTTGGACTCCCGACCACTGCCAAATTGTTTGTTAACATGAGGCAAAATCCTATTTGTAAGTCTGCTGAAACGAAATGGGATGTCTCACAAATGACTTTCAATCTATCATCAGTACCAACCGGTTCCAACGGCCACAGAAAGACACAAGATGATCGTGACTGAAGCGCTGGCACCGAAAGTTTGTACTTGTCACGGTGATCAGACCGCTCATGTTCGATTCTGCCACATATAAGAGGTCCCTTTACTGGAAAATGCAACAGTCCACATGGGCTACCTACGCCTGAAATGGTCTGAGATACTCTCTTCCAGCTGGTATCCTCAACGGCTTGTAACCAAAGTGAACCCTTTACATCGCAAATTGCAACACGATCTCCATCGTGAGAAATAGCAAAAGAAGCTATGATTTCTTCGCTCTCGAAGCGTTTGATCTCCTCTCCATTTTTTGTGTCCCAAATGACCACTTGCTGGGCGTTTTCTGGACAATCAGTTAACATCTTTGTTTTGTTACAGGAGAAATAGCACACATTAAAATGACACTTGCTCTCTGGAAAGAGGAAGGTCGGCTCTCCGTCTACGCTGTACACTTTAGCCAAGTTTCCTGGCAGTATGGAACATCCGTTTGGATGGAAGACAGTGGAGCTGTAAAACGACAACGTCCTTTTCCCAGTCTCGATGTTTAGGCACGTCTGGCGGAAAGCTGTTCCAAAAGGAACTTCATCGTACGACTTTATTGATTGTATTATATCTTTTTCCCAAAGCTGCTCTCCGGTCCGAAGTGACCATAACGATGTCTTTCCATCTCGGCATTCGCTTACCAAGAGTTCTTCGTCTGGGGACACATCAAAAGAAACCACCTGGTCGGGGCAGAAAAAGCGAGCTTCAACAGGGCCTCGATGACCATTTTTGTCGAAGAGCTCCATATATGGTACTTCTGGATGCTTCTTCAAAAGAGCATCGGACACCTTTTTGGACAGAACCGATCCTCCTTCGTTAAGTGAGTTTTGGAAAATCATCTGAGGAATATCGCGAAGCAGCCTTGGGTTTTTCTTAAATTGTAGTAAAAGGGTTTCAATTGTGTCGTGGATTTCTTCGCTTAGTGTCCTTGAATTTGGATATTCTTGCACAAGAACAAGATCTTTAACCACATCAGTGTCCCTATTACATAGCTTGGCATAGACGAGTTCGAGATCTATCACGTACCCACGAACTAATCCTTCCATTTGAGCACTATTCTCTGATGCTTTCAGCATATGCTTGACACCGTGTCGTAAGGCGTATTTCATCTTCGCTTGAGTCAGCGGTTCTGCAAGCTGTTCACCACGTCCCTTCAGAATTTCAAGTTCTTTAATGCACAACTGAGACAGAATCTTGTGACCTTCCTTCTCGTTCACGAAGGAAAATCCATTGGACGAGTCTGTCAGCCAATCTTTGACGGATTTGTGGAACATGTGAACATGGTCATCTCGAAGAATAAAAAGAGAAGAAATACAGCTAAAAACGCTCTCAATTTTTTCCCGAGTGCAATCACTTCCTAAAGTGTTGCGGTTTCCCAGAAGTATGTCCATGATGAACTCTTTGTGCAAAGGTTCTTCAGAAACAGTCAAGGCACTCAGAAAATCAGTAAAAAAACTGCCATAGTTGTCCTTCAATTCTTCCTGTAGTCTTTCCTTCATTCGCTCAAAATAGGACTGGTAAACTGAGGAAATACCACGTGGGAATGGTCGACGAAGTTCCTCTTGACTTACCAGTGGTGGCCTGTTTTTGATCATTTGTGTTAAAAAGAATGCGAAGAGCATCGAGCCGTCTGAATGTTGAACCAACTCTTTTACAATAGCACTGAGACTGTCTGGGTTTGTTACATGAGAATTTAGATTCTTTTCAAAGAAAAGTTTGATATCATCACGATTCCGCTCATCATTTTGTTGCCACTCGAAAGTCTTCAGATTTCCCAATTTGTCTGAAATGGTTTTCTCTGGTCTTGCGGTGATTAGAAATCTTATCCAAAGCGGCAATTTGGATAAGTCATTGGCGATGACTTTAAGTAATTCATTTCGACCGTGGAGTTCAGCTTCGTCCAGGCCATCTATTAGCAAGAGGACGTTTCTGCCAGGGTCTGCCAAAGCGGAGAGGGGTTCTTTAAACAGCCATACAAACAGATCTTGCACGATCATATCTTCTAGCTCTAGGTTGTGGGATCTGGAGAGCTGCTCCACGAGAACTGCTTTATATTCTGGCAATTTCGAACTTAATTGGTAGGCAAGAGATTGAATCATTCGTTTCGGATCACGGTAGGATTCGAAGCTGTGTTGACAAAAATGACACCCTGTTGGTCTGTCTGCCTTTTGCATTCTCTTGCAAATGACTGCACTTGCGACGGACTTTCCCATTCCAGCTCTAGCAGTAATCAGCATTGCTCGATGCGGCGACTCCCTGTCATCTAACCAATTCTCGACTTCATTGAAGATCCACTCTCGCGTTCCGTCTTGAAATTTAGCTAGGTGATGGTTTATGTCTCCTGTAAAATCAAAACGTGCCAGTTTCTCTAATTCTTCCTCTTTCTTTAAGGCATCTATTTCATTCTGATCTAATCCTAGATCAACTAAAGCAGCAGTAACGTCCTCCCAGTAGAAGTTGAAGTCATTCGTGTTAACTTCAGTTGATGGAGCATGACTGAGCCGATTTCGATGATATATGATGCGAGCAATATTTGCTTCTGTTGACCTGTCGTTGGGTGGAGGCTTGTTGTTCCATCCAGTGCTCGGAGGAGTAAACCGACAAATGTTGGTTAAAAGGGTCCCAAGCAGTGTTATGTCAAATAACTCACAATTTGGTTGCGTTCCATCAGGCGGAAATAGCATCTCCCATTGATCCTTCTTGAGTACCTTCCTGTGTTTGAGAGCTAATAGAGTACTTTCATGATTCTTGAGCGAAATAGCTAACTGGGGATGAATTCCCTTGAGGAGGATCCTTAACGCTGCTGTCCCCCCATTAATAACCACCTTGTGTAGCTTCTCACCATTTCTTTTTTCTGTGCAATTGGCAAATGGTGATGTTGGAGGACTTGCCATGGCTACGCAAGTCGGAACATTGATACGTGGCTTTAAAAGGAAACGGGTGAAGCTGTTTATTTTTAATCACAATATGAATAACATTAGGATACTTGATCCAAAACTCAATAGACTGTAATAGGAAATTTTCTTTTTACTTAGCGTTACGTCACTAACATTTTTGCTGGGGCCTTGATTATAAAAAGACAAAATGCCAAATAAACACTGTAGCGAAACACAAGAGTACTAAACGTTTAAAATACCACTCCATGTTGACAGGCGAAAACGATCAATCTGTTCAATCGCAATTGGTTGACAGCCTTGTAATAATGTACCGGACATTGTCCCACCCAATAAAGAATAATTGTTTGAAGCTTTCCCTGGAGTCATGAACTAGTTCCTGGCTGGCTGACTAAAACAAAAAACATTTGAACAACTCCTCTGCAAACTGCGTTTACTTTTTCATAAGCCAAGAGAAAAAAATAGAACATTTTCTCTTGCATAAGCTCACGCTCAAATAAAACTATTTCATGCAGAGATGGTGTCATTTTTGTTACACTGACTGAAGAGACCTCTGAACCTTGTTCGTTCATCGCTTTTTACTGTTTTTTGCTATTTATCTTTGTTTCCCCAGACACTCGAATGATCTGAAAATTATGTAACTTCCATATATTTCCTGTGAGAGATCTAATTTTGAGACTTTTCCTTTGTTTATAAGATAAAAAAGAAATAAAAACGCCTCGATACACTGAACTATTAATTCTGCATGAAAAGCGAAGTCCATAACTTCCTTATAAATAAAACAATATAGGAATGCCACTGAACCACTACATCCGGTGTTGCAGCCTCGAAGATAATATATTTGGTTTTCATGAACGTCACACCACCTTTAGTCACTGAGCTGTACTTGCGTGATCCCTGTACATACAGGTCGTTTTCTTACAACATTTAGCCTACTGCCACTAAAACGATACAGAAAAAAAATTATCGAACGCCTATATTTCTATTATATCTTAAAATTGTTACGCGAAAGATATTAAACGCCTCTGCGAGTGAGGGTGCGAGGACTTTGCCCGGGGTTGAACAAAATTTTGCTTCAGCTCAATAGATTTGGCAAACTGTCAGTTTAATTACCGTCAATTTCTCGACAGATCTCGATGTTACTCACTTAAGCCCATCATTATTTAAAATGTAGACTGCATGTAAGCTTTTCAGAACTCGATTACCCCGGAGAAAACAAATTTCGCTCTTGGTAAATCGCTTATTTGTCACGAGACAATGACTTGCTCGTTGAACTTCGAGGTAACGGTCGGCATACGCGCAAACCCGGTTAGGTTACCTCAAATTCGCAAGGAATGAGTAAAAACAAAATTTTCTTAAGAGCACTGCACTGGAAATATAGCCCGTGATACCGTAAGCATCCTAACTTATGCAGCAGATACCGCGACACCTTTTCTAGGAATTCCTAAGCTTCAGTGCACTGTTAATGACCGAGAAAGCTCAACGGCATTCCGACTATCAAATGGTTGCGTTGTTTCCGAGAAAGAACATTTTCAGACGTTTATTATGCCAAAATCTCGGTACTTGTGTTTTTGCCCCCGCTGGCGATTGAGTGGCAAAGAAATTTTGACCTATTAACTCTTCTAAGCGAGTATATTTTGACAATCTTTGCCAATAGTTCTTCTAATCCTCAGGGGATGTAAATATATTGCAGTACGTTGTTATGCAAGCAGTGTTCGATGTTCAAGGTTAACTCTTTCCCAGAATTTGAATAGGATCGCATGGGCTCTACTGATTATCTAAACTTGTATAGAATAGTGAGAGTGTGTTCAACTGTATTCTGAGTAACCTTGTGGAGGAAAGCTGCAGAATTTCTAATTAAAGCCAAGAATGAGGTTGTGTGAAAACATACATAAAAGGCGGGGAACGTATTAGAAACACCTACCTACTAACGACTATTCTCTGCGCCGTTGATACAAAGAATGTGTTTCCTTTGAGTAATTTGCTTAAAACAGGACACTATGCTCGACAAAGTTTGCTCAGAATCACTGACTATTGGCTCCGCTTCAATTAATATGGAGATAAAAATTTGCTACTGCAGTTGAGTCAACGGCTCCTCAAGAGACGGTACGTAAGTCCAATTAGCCATGCGCACAAACGGCAGTGCTATTGATTCTTTTAGGCATCGCAAACAATAAGCTGTTGTCAGACGATTCATTTCAATGAGGTATTCATTTTCGAGGAAACACAGAGGTCAAAGAGTGCTATCGATTGTCAAAATTCTGAGAATCACAAAATTTCAGCCTTGCATCACTGAGAAGCAAATAACTTCTTAATATTGTTTGGCCGGCAAAGAAGACTTTGAAGACTTTGAGAGGCTTGGACTCGGAAAATAGAAATTTTCGCGGTTTTACCGCTTATCTCTTTAAATCGCTCCCACGACTAGTGGAGGCAATTAACAGCATACATCTATGAATTAACATTTATGTAGCGCAATTAACATATTCATATGATCAAATTAACCATTAACAAGAAGGGCTTCAAAATCTCGACTGTGACAGATCAAGTACCCTGTAATCATTCTCGGAAATTGAAATTAACAAAGCTGCTTTGAGAGTGTACCCGCAATTTGAACTAGCCAATGAGATAACGAATTCGTGACTGATTCGAAATGTAAACTCCTTTTATAAAGTTTCGTGTGAGCCAGACTTCGAGTCGAAAATTGTACTGTTGTTGTTTTTATTCGTCAAGGTTTGATCCATTCAAATTTAGTCAACCAGTCCAGAAGTTACTGAATTATTATTTCCTTTATCCAAAACCTTTTAAATAATTAACGTAAAACCAAGTACCTCCATGGAAGAAAAGGAAATTGAATAATCGAAAAACTAAACTGACTTGGGCTACCTACGTTTGCTTTGAAAATTGATTTCATCTCAGCGGGCCTGAATCAAGTCAGCTCTTTCTTTTATTTTAAAAGTTTTTGGAAAGTGAATTTCAAATTAATTAATAAAAGGAATAAAATGATCTGAAAAGTATCATCAAGATAGTGCGTTCAATTCACGCTTATAAAGTAAAACTGAATTTCATCTTACGAATATATTAACTTACTCGATTGTCCAAATGTTGATTTTGAATTCGGCGAGGGGTTATGAGAGACAAAGAGCTCAAAACTCGGCTGAACTCTGCCAAAAAAATTGTCGACTTTCGTTTCAATTTATTATTAATTTTTTATTGTCTATCCAGCCGTTGCCTGGGAGAAAAATAAGACGATTTGTTTTCTCGTGATCAGTTCAGTAGTAAAGGGCATCGGATTCAAATCAGAAAAGATTCTAGGAAAAATATTATCGCTGAGATTTTAACAATTATTACGATAAAAAGCTAAAAAGGCTAAGGTAGCGAACAATTTGCAAAGCACTGGAAAATCCCTGAATCAACAAATGTCATATAGCGCTTTCACTCCCAGGGGTGACCGAAGAGATAACTCTCCTTATGATATCAATACGATTTGAAGCAGGGACGCAATGAGAATTTGGATTATGATCAACTGGGGGACATTGTTTTATTCAACACTAGATAATCAGAGTTAATATTACAAAATGAAGTAAAAATATGAGGCTTGGAGTGTGGAGAATGGGTATCTACATCCTAGAAGTGAAAAGGTTTTATATAATTTTAATAACTTATGACAGCGTTGCGTGACATGAAAACCGGATTAAACAACGTCTTCCGCGAAAAAAAAATCTTGACGTTATGACTCATTAATTTAAAATTGAAAGAAAAAAAAAAGCAGATTGAGCTTTACATGTACCTGTTAAAATTTTGCATCCCGGCTCAGTATGTTAGATGCCCTATTTTCTTCTTACTCAACCAATTATTATTTAAATCAAGACCGGTTTGGATTTTACTAAGAAAAATGTTAACTCATTCAGGGATTACAGAGCATACTGTGAAACTTAGCTGCCGCCGGGAAGCTAACAACATGTAAGTTATTACCATTCAATATTCCCTGATGTTTACTGAAACCGGAAAGCTGTTAGCATGCACCAGAATAATAAACCACAGATGGAACGAATCTAATTTGTTGGCTAATTTTACATATTTACTGGTGGCTGATGTTAATAATTTGACGGTTTGAAGTGGTCAGCAAAAGGGCTAATGCCATGGCTTTCACTGCACGTAAGGTAAGTCGATTTTGTGGAACTTTTTTCTTCAAAATTGAGCATAAATCTCAGGCTCAGCATATTGATATTCATTAAATTTTTAATTCGAAAAAGCTTTTTTATGCGAAAATGATTGTGTTTCTATTGTCCAAACTGTGAAAAGGAAGTAATGAGATCCTGCGAAAGGCGAACAACTTCTTTACATAACTGACGTGAGATAAATGTTGTCATCATAAATTCAAACCCTCCTACACCGCTATCGAAATATGGTGAGTAAAGAATATACGTAAACGCAATATTTGAAAGACGCTTCTTCCGCTGTTGAAAAGAGAAGAAATTATGGCAGTAAATTTGGATCAATTTAATTTCTTTTCAAATGTATTTTTTTTAGTTTGTCGCTAGGTCAGGTTGGTTCGATATCTTTAGAAAATTAAAAAGGCTTTAAGATTTTGGAGACGAAACATATGGTCGAGCCTGGATTCGAAACGTGCAAAAACTGCTGAAATTATTTGGTTTTTCTTTGTAAAAGACAGTAGAAATTACATTAATTCTTAAGCAATGCAATGATAAGACGTAAGAGTTTCCAAGATACACCCAATTTTGATAAAAATTTGCTTCAAGGCTGGCAAATTAGAAGCATTCGGCTTGATAAATTGATGCTGCACAGCTTTCAGCCAGTAACATGGAGTGTTAGAGTGGAACTCAAAGTTATTTTTGAATTATCACAGATGTGCATTTTAACATTTATTCTATTAAATAAGTTACTAGAGGTTCTTTAGTTACTGCATCTCATTTCGGTGATATAACAGTTGAAGAATATGACATATAATCTTATCAAAAACGGACTGCCTCAATATTGTTTCTTTGAAAAACCCAAATGTTGGAAAGTTTCGTTTATTTTACATATATTTCAGGGAATTAATGGAAGGTAAGTTCTAATAACGTTCTTTATATGTGTATATAACCTGCATTTCTGACGTGTTGCGTGAATATTTAATTCATTTACCCGCTCAACAAAGCATAGATTACACGCGAACGCACAACAGACCTGAGCTGATCTTCGCGAGACGACGGTGGCTGAAGGTCAAATAGAGCGGGAATTTTCTGTTTTTAATCCACCCCGCTAAATAGCGGCAACAGAAAGCCATCACTGAAATGAGAGGACGACAGATTTATGCATAATTCGCATGCAGTCTGAGTAAAACGAAAACAAATTGAAAAAGCAAACAATACATAGCTACGTGCGTTGATTTCGCCAGTTTCGCATCGAATGAATTTAAAATAACGATAGGTTCCATTCCTCTGGGGGGTTAACAGAGTTTTTAATCTATGTATGTCACATCAAATAAAGAATTTCCTTTCTTTCTCTCTAGCTCTTTTACCTGGAACGAAAAAAACATCGACCATCTTCATTTACATTACTACTCAAATGCGTCTCAAATTACCAAGCAGGATAGTTTTAGTTTTCACGAGTTTCTAACGGAATTTAATACTGATTCTGGAAAGATGGACGTAGTTTTAAAATCATATCACCATACGAAACTTTTTTTTTTAGATAATGTTCCTTCGATCTATTCGTACAACAACGGATGTATAATTTCCTGCCTTTCCACTGGTCACGTGATTTTGGCTCGAATTCTGATTGGTTTATCGTCATCCTTGAAACTCGCAATTGCCGTATTATTCGGTTTGATAGACATCCTTAGCCGGAGAAATGTCTTGGTCGAAAAGTTCTCCTTTATTGATGGTTCGTTTATCTTGACTAACTTTAGGTAGATTCAACGTCCAGAATTGACCGTGACGTTTACAATTACGATAGGAGTTTTCAAGCTTTCTACCACGGTTTTGCGGGGAGAAATTACTGGATTCAAGAAGATCATAGTCCTCGTTGCCGTCGCCGTCGTGGTTTCTTAAGGTCCCTAATGATTCATCTCAGAAAGACTATCACCCCAAATGCTTTGAACTATCTTGTGTAGGACTGAGGTCCGAAGAAATATGGGCCGAAATCATGCAAGCATTGAAATTTCACATTGTAGTAGATTCATCAGTGAGATTTTAGGATCTTAAATTGTTCTCATTTCAAGTGTGGATTTTTGTGTTGCTAGGACTGCAACATATACCTCTTGTCTTGCTTAAGTGTGAGATTTATTTTAATTCAAATTTCCATATTTTTTTCAAATGAAACATCGCCTGGATAGCTGAAATTTGTGTAGACCCCAAGCAAAGAATCTGGACTGTTTTCCAGGCCAGGATAGTTTGATGTTTTGTGGTTTTCACTTTTCGGATCGAGCTGTTCTCGCAGATTGTGAATTTCAAACTTTTTTTTATCTTTGTCAAATTATTTTCATATCGGAATATGTAAACCATTCGTGCATTTACACTTAGACTTGTGAATTGCATCACACGTAAGCAGCTGGATGTTCTGACAAAAATATTACATTTTGAGGAGTTCTTAAGTTATCAATGTTTTTAACTCTAGGAGGTCTAAACCGACATGATGAAAAATTTATGTTCTCATTAACTAAAGCCATTCAGGCTTTACAAAACAGAGCCTTCGCCATAAAACAGCCGGATTTTGGCAGGGAAAGCGAACGTCTGTACAAATAGAAGGGAGTTAGCAAATCTTGTGAGAAGTTCAATTGTAACCTCCTCTGCTTTAAGATAAAGAGATGGTAAGTGGAATTGTGGGTAATTGACCTTGTATGATATCATTGGGACAGTGTAGACGACAAAGGGATAAAATTTAGCCGTGACACATCGCGTTCGGACCTCGTCCAGGTCGAATAAAAATTTCAAGTGTTGGTGTTTGAGGAGGAGGAAAAAAGAGAGAATTCCGAGAAAAACCCTCGGATAACTGCTGAGAACAAACGGCCATATCGATCTGTATGTTTTGTTGAATCGTACCCCAGAGGAACAGACGTTCGGTTGTTTGCGAGCTAATTTCGCGATGCAACTGAGTACGGAGAAACAAGATTGTTACAGTTAATTTACTTACAAAGGAAACAAAAAAGGATCTCTTTGAATCATCTTTAAATTTTAGCTAATCTGTTGTCGAACGAATGCTTTAGAAAATTAAAAAACCAAGAAGCATGCAGGTGTTTAGGAAGTTTAAGTTTGTTTTATTCAGTTTGTTTCTAGCCCTCAACTAAATCACTATGGTACAATGCTATCCAAGTAGGAAATAGATAACAGTAAATTCATGATACATGTCAATTCAACAGTTACTGCAAAAATATTTACTATCTTTCTATGTAAATTTGTTCCCTGTTTCGAATCACACGGTGCTGGGTGTTTGACGTAAATAAATGATATTTTGAAAATAAAGTGTCATGCAATCCAAAGAATACTGAAAAAATTGAAGTTAAATGATGGCAATGAGGTTATCTTTATATCATCATGGATCTAGTGATTGAAGGCTTCACTTTGAAGGACTTTGAATATAGAGGATATTATATGGCCGCGTGGGGTATACGAATTTTATCTTCGAGTGCTGTAAGTATCTCTCATGAGGGAGAGATACTTTCAACACGAGAAGATAAAATGCGTATTCCCCGCGCGGCCATGAAATGTTTTCTTTATTTTATAGATACTGATGAAATTTCCGCATAAAGCACGACTTTTTTTTATTCATTTTCGAAACAGCAAAATAGTGCAATTAAAGTGGTCACCTGTCGCAAAATGCCTGTCACAAAAACGTTATGAAATTCGGATATAAAGTTATAAAGGAGAAATTAAGACAATAATATTTCTATTTTCTGTTCCAAAAAGTCAAAATTCTGATGAAGAAGAGAAAAATTCTGTAAGAGCAAAAGTAACCATGTTAGTAACCATGACGACACCAATATCTCACACGTGGAAGATAAAAATAGTATCTTCACCACGCGCGACGAAGATATGATTTTTTAGTAAAAGGAAAAGTCCTGGTAATTCATCAGTATCTATATGATAAATATAAATATCATATATCTGAACTGTGGATTCAAATTTCCTGATGATGATGAGATTGATCATCACAGTAGTGAACACTAAACAGGCAGTAGTGAAAATAAAGCCTAGTGGTCATTGCAGTAATGAACACTACGTAAGCATAGGTGAAAATGAAGCCTGAAAAAAAATCTGTGGATGGGCTCTGCGAGCTCGCAAAGATAAAAGTTTATCACAAGCAGAAAGCTAAGTCAGATAGTCAGATTTCCACCGAGTCAAAACTGCAAAATTGTGCATCCCGTGACATTTGCATCACCGAGATAAAGGGTTAAAAGTAACAAGTTAACAGTGTAAAACCAACCTACACATCCCTAATCCATGTATTGTTACGCATTAATTTTTTATCGTCGTTTTGAGCTAACCAAATTCTTTTTTCGTTCATTTTACTTAAGGCTTCCAGTAAATTAACTGAAGAGCAAATTGACGGTAAGCCAATTCAAATGTTTTCACAAATTTTATATTTTTGTTCATAAGCTAGCCCTGTTTGGTTTACCAAGGGTGCAAATTTTCGAGAAAATAAATCATAGTGATCGGAGATACCAAAACGTCGCCCCTTTCTTTCGCAAGTATAATTTTGACTAATATGAGAGTAAATTATTTTTCACCTAGACTTTAGGAAAGCGTTTCTACTGTTTGACAAAGATGGCAACGGAAGAATAACCGCGGACGAATTGAGCGAAGTTATGAGCTCCTTGGGTCAAAGTCCCACAAAGAAAGAGGTTGAAGCAATGATTCAGAAAGCTGACCAAGACGGTACGTATTTTTTAATAGGTAACATAAATGAGCGCATAAGTTCATCGTCATTTATATATCGACGGGTATGTGTACCGTATCTGGAGGAGAAAAACGTGGTATAAGAAATTGCCATAGAATAGTTGCACACACTATTTTCAGTGCCTGAGGTAGGGTGGGGAGCCAGCACGACAAGGAAAAGAGATGTCCCCTCTGAGTTGTGAACACGTCCATTCATACACCACTTTGGAGCTCCTTTCATGTAATTTGCTTTGAAGTTTTCCCTTGAATAACAAACTTATCTCAGTTCCCATTCTACTTTAATAAAAAACCCTTTTAAACGCCTTACTGACGTTCCTAACCCTAACCCCCTTTTATTCCGCTGTCAACATTTTGATGCAGAATTTTACGTTTCTTTCAGGCGATGGTTCGATTGATTTTCTGGAGTTTCTGGAAGTAATGGCCAGCAAGATGGGTGAGCACACATTCGAGGACGATCTCAGGGACGCATTTCAATTGTTCGACACAGATTGCAACGGTTATATTTCCAAACGCGAATTAACTTTCGTCCTGACCAGCCTCGGGGAACAGATCACTGATGCTGCCGTGGAAAACATGATCAAGGAGGTCGACCTGGATGGAGATGGCAGAGTAAACTATGAAGGTGATACATTGGGTTACCGATGCATTGCACTGAATAAATAGAATATTCACTTAGGATAGTGCCATTAGTGTCCTGGGCCGGGTTGTTCAAAGCTGTGTTAAGATAACCCAGGGTTAGTGTGAAATTTGATTTCAGATCTGAAAGCTCTGAAAGAAAATTCAGCTTAATTCCATTTGTCTACAATTTGATGATTGAATGTCCTAAAAAGAACTAGGAAAATTATCCCAAAATTGCTTTTGATTAGAGAAATTTAGAAACCTGGATTAAAATTTAACCCTGGGTTAGAGCTAATCGGCCTTTGAACAACTGGGCCCNAATAACTCTTTACAACAAAGATGCTAACAAATTTTATCTACATTGTTGCAGAATTCCTACGAATTATGAAGAAATAAATTAAACATCCCGAGGACAATCTGTCGACCATCGCAAACGATCGAAGACTGAGTCGATCAGTTTAATTTAGCCTCATTTTAGACCTTTATCTACTCTAGGTATCTAGCTAAGAGAGGTCAGATATCTATGATGAAATGTTTTTTTTCTCCTTAAGTTGTACACAAAATGTTCATGTAAATAATACGTGCCTGTTGATATGAAAGAAATTATGTAGTGGTAGGACATATGGACTGATGTGTCCCCAAGTACCTTTAGCATTGGAGGAATTTTCCTGATTGTATTTTTAAATTCAAGACAGTAATGAGGAGCCGAGGCCTCAAAAGAAATAGTTCGTGCCTCGTTAACTAGTAGTCTCTGGTTGAAATTTCAATTCATCTCCAACCATTATATTTTCTACGATGAACACGAACGCAAACCATCATTTAAATAACCTTAGCGTTGGCAAAAGACAGCTGTACATATGGATAAAATATGATCACCTTTGTAATGAATAGATGGTCAATCCCATCTTTGACCATTTTTCTAGGAAGACAAGTGTATCACTTATAATGAGTTCATGAGTGTCTTAGTTTCACTTCAGATATTTCCAAAGTCTCTTTACGATAACTTCTTGGAAATTTAAATAAACTGAACCTTCAGCTTTATGTATTAAAGCTTCCTTTTTAGAGTCTCATCAAATAATATGGAGAGTGGAAAACCGTGATCAACCTTGTAACTTTAAACTGACTCGATGTTTGATAACCTTTTGTTTTGTTCCATGTTCAATTACGAAATGATCCCCATAGGTGATACAGCAGAGGAACGAATTGTAGAAAAAGAAATTAAGGTTATGCCTCGACGGGCTTATCAGCTGGTTACAACACATTTCATTTACTACGCTCTTATATCTTTTACCACTTTCCCTATTTTCTATTTCTTACCTTTCATTATTTTTAATCCTAATATGAAGGTTGAGATGGCGCTCAATGGACTTTCTGTGTAAATTACATGAGCAATTTTGAAGAAAGTGGAACCCAATCTTCTGCGGTTTCCTATTGAAAACAAACATGGCTGTCTAGAAGGTGTTCTGTTGGCATAATGTAGATTGCTTGAAAACGCGCTTTCGTGAAATGAAATGGCTCGAAGATCAAAAACTAATTTAGAGAATGACATAGAGCGTTCGCGGTGGGAGGAAAAATGGGAATATATGCCAAAACTGGTCGATCAGCTATCAAGTCGGACTACGAGTGAGCCAAGTATAGGTAAGTGTTTTTGCATGTTGTCGTTAAGTAAAGTTTTTATAATTATTTGCTGGATTTTACTTTTTGTCTGGAAGATTGACGTTTCGAGTGGAAAAACTCAAACGCTAAATTGAAGAGTATTCGATGTGTCTGGTTTTAATTTGTACACATATTGATCACCACTGGATTATTTCGAAATCTGAATTGAAGTTAAGGCTACATATTTCATATTGGAAGACTTTTCCAATTTTCACGAGTTAGTCATGTGTTTATCATCTTTGGATAAAAACTTCAATGGGAAGATTCAGATTCGATTGAATTAAGGAACTCTCTCATAGAGGAAATCATCCTGCCAATGTTTATGTCATGTATTCAACTGTTTTCATTCCCTTGGTCATTTTCAATTTTGAGTGAGGGGGGCTTTTTCGATTGACTGGTTTTTCAAAGTTTAGAGGTACTGGAGAAAGGTTAATTAAACAAAGTATATTAGCTCTGCGGGCAGTAAGAATGATTTCTGGGGTGATATCATCCAGTGTACGAGACATATTGCTTTAAATCTTCGCTAGTCATCAAGAGAACATGGCTAACAATACAGAGTTTTATAAACAATGTGACCTTTTGCTAAGTGGCCAATCTGCAACTCCTTTAACCTTAAAAAATTCACTATGTGGCCAATCTATAGCTCCTCTTTGTAGCTGTATCATTTAATTCATTTATTACAGATGGAGTGGATGTATATTTTAATTTAATTTTTGTATGCAGATGCAATAAAAAAGCTACTCATCAGTGAATCCCAACTTGAAATATACCTCAGAGATCATCCTCTCGGAACAACAGATGCTGCTAAAGCCAAAAAAGCTATAGAGGAAACTGTTGCGAATCTTGAAAAACTGGTTTCTCAAGATAAGTTGGGAAAGGTATGTAAAAAGTAGATGAATGAGTTACCAATAAACAATTAATAAATGAATCATTCAATAAATAAGTGAATGAAGTAGTAGATAAAAAAAATTGGTGTAAACAATTCTATTCAATTTAATGAATCATTTGACCTCCTAGATCTGTTAATTCTTCCCTCTAGCTGCTAAACATTTCCCTTCTACCTCATAGGCTTGAGTATTCTCAAGGGAGAATTTACATGTAAAGTATAGCTGAATGAAGAAATGGCAGTGGCATATCCAAAACATTATGCTAATATCATCTCAAATTGTACCACGACATATTTTCTCATTGAACAGGTAGAAAGAAAACAAGAGGCTTTATTTTTGCTGTGCAAAGCTTACTTTGTGTTGGAAGAATTTCAAAGTTGTGTAAAATGCTGTGACCAAGCTGGAACAGAAGACATCTACATTGACACACAATTAAAAAGGAAAACAAAACTGGTTGCTGAAGGTTTTGCTCATAAAGGTAACATTATTTTTCAGCAGCTGATCATACAGGCTTACTTAAATCATTTCTGCTTGGTATTGTTTTTAGTGCACCATAACCCTGTAACTCCCATGAGTGACCAACACAGAATTTCTCCTCACCTTATCAATTCAAAATCAAGCTTAAAGGAATGAGATTTAAGAAAAATATCAATAAGGGATCATTAACTGATCCAATACTAAGTTCTCTAACTAACAACATAAGTATTGTATGGTAGACCGTAAGGAGAATTGCTAATCAGATCTTGTAAGGGAAAGGAATAAGAACAAGTGCATTTCTGGCTCAGAAACTCCAAAATATTAGAAAAGAGCTTTGGATGCCAAGAATGATTGCCATAGGGAATGTTGACACTGAGTGTGTCAACTGTATCAGGGTTTAGTACTAACAGTGGCCAACTAGCCACAGACAAGTAGGTATTCAGTTTTGGCTAGTGGTTTTCAATTTCCACCAGCCAGTTTGGCTAGTAAACAGACTGAAATTCTTATAACATTTAAATTGTCACTAGCCACTTTGCTAGTAAGTTAAAAAGTTAGTTTTAAATTGAGCCCTGCCTTTTCACCCTATAATCAGTATGCAAGTTCTCCACATTGTACTTTAATTATACATTTCCTGAGGTTTTAACAAGGAGAATCTGTCCAACATCAATAGCTTCTTTGGTTGGTGATCATTTGCTGTATTCTCGTGACCTTAATGTTTGATTCAGAGGCGACACTGTTGGGAGAATCTAGATGCATATCACTCTTAGGTGTCACAGGATTTAAAAAAAAGTTGGTCTCATCATTTGCGAAAAAAGCAAAACACTCTCCCATCTTGAAAAACTTGTAACTTAAGACTCTCATTTTTACCAGATGTAAGGTTGAAAGTTGAGAAATGTCACTTTCTGGAAGATCACCAGCAAGGTATTTAATGAAATATAGAAATGTGTTTAATTCAATCAATATGTATGCTATACCCACAGCCATGGCTCTTGAGCAGTTGCGGTCAATTGGAAAGTCAGACATCAGTGATGAGGATATCATTTCTTGTTATGAATGCGCTGGTGACATAGGGCTCTGGCTAATTACTGACCAGACATCTTCACAACGGACTGCAACACCATCACAGACGCCAGTGTTAGGAAGGACCCTGGAGATAGCGCTACAAAGGGCTCCAGTACTTCACATTAAGAATGGGTGAGTAAAACTTAGGCTTGCTGAGGCGCACTTTCTACTGTGTATGTAGACTGTTGTGCAAGTTAAATCAATCTGCTCATGTTATACTTCTATTCCAGGCTAGAAAGTTCCCAATGGTGATCTTCAATTAAGTGAAAAAATGAAAGCTCTAGTTTTTGCTCTTCTCCTGATTTTCATTTAAGAGGTGGAGTCTAATATGTGTTTTTGTATTGTGACAGGAAAATTATGGAGGGTATCAACAGATTTAGACTCATGATGAGAGTTGTGGAGACAAGAACTTCTCTAGGCTTGAGAAAGGTAAATGCATTGTCTAATGACTGTTGATCAATGTTGCTAAGTTTTAGAAGTTTCAGAGCCAGTAGCAGCTTGTGATCAAGCCAATTTAAACCATAAATATTGAATTATCCCTCAACATGGAAATATGTGCTAAAGCCACTGCAAAGACCTGCTGTATGCCTCTTTATCTCTAATGTTGTTGTTGTTGTTGGTTTTTTTTTTTTTACAAAAACTCAATTGAGTTCAGGGATTAGCCAAGCAGCTGGCACAGGTTCTGTTACGAGGAGTTTGTGAGATGAGTTACGAAAAACCCCTAAACTTACTGCCCAACTCTCCAATGATAAGCTCAACATCATCACTGAAATCTGCATCCAAGATGGACTTGAAGGCCACCACAATTAATGTTATTACCTGCAAGCATGCAACCTTTCCTCTGAAACCACAAATGTACAGTGGAGAAAGGTATAAGATGAACCTATATATTCATTTTTCAACCCTTTACACCCTGACATCAGTATACAAATTCTCCATACTGCTCTCTATACATTTCCAATGCTATTGACAAGGAGAATATTTTTTACGATCAAGAGCTTCTTGAGTAGGTGGTCATTTCTTGTATTCTCCCAATCTTAATATTTGATTCAGTAGTGATGATATAGAGAAAAACTAGATGTTAGTCACCCCTAAGGGCTAAAGGGTTAAGTCCTTCAAGCTGATCTCACAGTTTTAGTGAAACTCTCTTCATGAAGAGAAGTTTGATCCAAAAAACAAGTGATTTTTATCTTAATCATTTAAAAGTACACATGTAATTTTGACAAAGACTGCATTTGAGAGTTCATAGCATAACTTAACCCCTGGACAAGTGTCTACAAATTTGCTTCAAGTTTGACAAGTTTCTTGAAGCATACACCTTGTTCAAGTAGGATCAGTAATATGGCCACTCCTCATGGAGAGCACTTTAGTTCTTCCCTCATTATGAATGCCTCAGCTATACATGCACACTGTATATCAAGTTCTCCACACAGTTACTGATCAATAATTCTGGGAAGAGAGAGACATTTAGAGAGTGTGCTTTCTTGCCCAAGGACACAACATAATAATCCTAATCAATCAACCTTTTAACTTTCAGTAGAGATTAACATGTAACTTCTCCCAACATTATCCGGTAGACAGGTAATGAGAATACTCAAACTTATCAGGTTGAATTTGTTATCTTGATCTAACAACAAATTCTCTTAACTAATGTACAAGAAAATGTGAAGCAGCTAGACTTGAGAATTAACAATCAGATCGTGGAAGTTAAAGGGTTAAACTAAGACGTTATAAGGAGGTTCCTGCACACTACCAATAAGGGTTACTTTATGAACTTCATATATTCAATGTATTCAGATACATTGAACTATATGAACTATATTCAACTATATGAACTTCATATATTCATTGTATCTGAAGGGTTACTTTGTTTCTCAAGCACTGGCATATACTTTTTTTTCTTGCAGTTTGTTTTTTCCCAGGAATGAAACAGAAGAAAGTTTGCTCCTTTTACTTTTAGACGAGGCCATGGTATGGTTTGTTTCAAAGTATTTTTTTGTTTTTGTATTCAGAATCCTTTTGTTTTCATGTAGGTTCCAAGATGAGGTAAATATTGTCCAGTGGTAGATTTATTTTTCCACAAGGTTCAGGTATAATTACTTATTTCTACTTGTAGATATACTCTTTGTAGTAAGTCATACTACATGGAAATAAAAATGGAAAGCATGGTAAAACATGTACCTGTCCAGTAAATAACAACCATGTTTTTCAACTGGACTTGGTACAGACACCTTATGTAGTCACGTAAGCATTAGTTGTCAACTATGAATTTGAAAGTTCACTGTTTTGTTCTTGAATTTGATTGGGAATATTGGAATCTCTTATTTTAGTTCTGTCCTCTGATTGATTTCATTGTTTGGGTGGCCCCAAGGTTACTTGATTACTGTTTTATTTCGCCTGTTTTTGGTTTTTGTTTTTGTTTTTATCAGGTATTTAAGGATGCAGAGCTCAGTCAAGCTCCAGAAAAGTCAACAGCCAGACAACAGACAGTTGTCGATTCTGAGAATGCATATGACTTACTTACATTGGCGCTGGTCAGGAGAGCTCAGTATGGCATGTTATCAGAGGTTAGAATATGGCAATAAGTTTTCTTAGGGCAACGAAAAAAGATGATAACATTTTTAAAATGTTTTTCAGTGTTTTGACAGAGGAATGAAAGTTGCTTTTGAAGAGTTCCACCTGTGGTTTCAGTTTGGTCTGTCTCTCATCAGTGCAGGCAAAGTATGTGTTTCCACTTATGAAGTTCATTTTCCTTAACAAGCAATAAACTATTTTGACTAAGTTACGCTTTCATTGAAACTAACCAAAAAAATTAGCTTCATTGCGGCTGGAAATGGAGGTGTTGGGGGAGGGAAGGGGGGGAGTGGTTTTATAACATTTTTTTGATGATGTTTCTTGGCATCTCTGTTTCACAGTTGTAAAAATAAGAACTTTTCAAAATTGTAATTTGACTTTCTCTCCTGCCTTAAGTATCACAGAGCCCTGATGGTTCTCAAACAGTGTCATCAGCTCCGCCCCGAAGACTCCTTGGTCTGCCTTTATGCTGCTAAGCTCTGTCTTAACAGCCTTCATATGGTATGAAAATTTGTTTCTTTTAATATTGTAGAATGTAGAAAAAGGGTTAGCCTTCTAAATGTCTGTTGAACTATGTTGAAACAACCCACATTGAGTCAAGTGGATGAGTTTCCCTTAGCGATCTAGTCCTCAGGGGTGTGGAGTCACGTTATTGAAAGAGGAACATTATGAACACCGGTATAACATAATTAGAAGAATGCATTGAATAATCATGTACTACGAAGCGGTTTTCCTTGTGCAAGGATATTTCTCTTTCCTAGTATTATTGATACCCAAGGACTTTTGCAAGCCCTGCCTCGAATTCAAACAAAGAGGAATTTTCACCTTGAAGTACTGCGCTCAGTCAAGTGATCAAGATTGTAGAAATTTTTCTTAGCCTAAAGACTCCAAAAAATCGAACGGTAACTCAGTCAAAAAGTTCATTTCACGACGTTGAACTAAGAAAAAAATTCGAATGAATTGTGGTCTTCACTGGGGATTCTAAAGCGTCATCACGTGAAGCAAGAACAGGATTAATTGTACTGCCGTTATCTGGGATTTAACTCTGACTAGGTCATTGTGTTGTGTCCTCGGCCAAGACACTCTATTATCGCCGCCCCTCTCTCCTCTCCCCCCCCCCCACCCCCCCCCGAGTATAAATAAATACCATTCAAATGCGCGGGAGTCTTGTCAAAATGCCAAGTTTACTCAAGGGATCATCGATTCTCCTCAACGTTTCGTGAAACGGAGACCGAGATGGGCTGCGGTGGAGTGGGAAACGCGGTCCCTGAGCAGACATTTTTGACATCCTAAGTATTGCAAAATAAGTACAGGAAAATGAAAGAGAGAGTAAAAATGAGGAGTGGTTACTAATAAGCTTTTTCGCTTCCTCTTTTTTTTTTTTTTCTTTTTTTGTTTTTGTTTTTACAAGATTGATGAAGGGATAAAGTTTGCTAAGAAAGTTATCGCCATGGGAGATGAGAAAGAGCTTTCGTCTAAAGGATACTTGGCACTGGGTATCGGTTACAGTCTGTTAGCCAGTGAAGGTGCATAGGATGTGCTCTTAACTTTGTAATTTCCTGCATGGATTTTGGCAATTTGCGCAGAGACTGGGTCGGAGACATTCCCAGCCAACGAAGTTTTTTTGGGGGAAATTACTGTCTTTGCATAGTTTTTATCAATGAGGCAATAGATTGATTGATTTTACTTATAGCCTCAAAACATCAGGTTTTTAAAATAGTGTAACGACTAGTTTTTTAGATTTATTTTAGGTACAACTTTGCTCACACTAATTAGTTATTAACGAAAATTCATTTTATTGCCTTCTTTTCATTACTGACGACTATCTTAAGGGGAGATGTTTCTAATGTTTTGTATTAATGTATCTTCCTACAGCTTGTTTAAGTGGAGAACGTCAACAGCTTCAGAAACAAGCGATTGATGCTCTTCAGAAGTAAGTAAAAATGATGGAAGAAAATTTGATTTTCTCCAATGATTTTCTCTGCTCTCCTTTTCAAAACTCATCCTTTTAGTAATGCTGGTGATAGTTTCCTTTTTAATCAACGCAACGTTACCTTAACGAAAAATGTTGCAAATTTGTCACGAGCGTGGGACAATGAAAACGAATTTAGCCCGCAGTTAGGTCTGACTTGGTGGTTGGATGGTCGTCCAACTAACCTAAAAAGTTGTCGACAGGCCAGGTCATTTACAAGTTGGATATGTGCTAAGTGTACTGCGTCTTGCTGGGGTCAGCGGAGAAGAAAGCGCTTTGGATTATCATAGATAAAGCTTGTGAACAAGGTTTCTAGTCTAGGATAGGGCGAATACGAAACTGGGAAGAACGAGAAAGGAAAAGGATGGGAAGAAAGACCTCAGATCAAAGACAGGTTCAGATTGATGTTTCCGCAGCTCCCTCAAACCTTCCCCC